AATCTATTGACACAGCGGCGGCTGGGAGGTGGGGCGAACCACAGAGCAATCGTCGTCACGCGAGCAGGAGAGATCAAGGCGGCACGGAGGCAGAGGAAAATGAACACGCTCTCGCGCCGGCCGGTCTCCTGCAGACGCGCTAAGATTAGTGGTTATTCAAAAGTACATTAATAGAGATATGTATCTCTATTATGTGCTCTTGGTTTATGCAGACGAAGTCGTGTGGCGTATCACGGACAGCATAATGGCCAGCGACACGCCACGCACGCCGCCGTACGGCCACGCACGCCCCCACACACACGCAGCGCGCACATATACATACGGCGATACGCCAAGGTCACACACGCACACGCCACCAAACATGTGGGAGGGGGCGTGCGTGCGTACGTGGGCGTGCGTGCGTGTCGCTGTGCATTATATGCTGTCGTGGATACGCCACCGCTTCCGTCTGCATAACACCAAGAGAACATAATAGAGATACAATCTCTATTATGTACTTTTGATAACACTAATCTTGGCGTCTGCAGGAGACGGCCTGCGCGAGAGCAGTTTCATGTTATCTTCTGCCGCCGTGCGCCTGATCTCTCTCTGCTCGCGTGACGACCGTGCTCGTGTTCGCCCCCCACCTCCCCAGCCGCCGCTAGGTGTCAATAGCTGCGCACGACGGAGGCTGCGCTCCTTCTGCATCACGGCAGGTATTTCAATATTGCCAGTCGTCGCCTTTTGATCGATCTCATCGTTAATATTGCCCTTCCCCCTCCACCCTCCTCAGCACACGCACCACACGCGATTGTGTAACGCGAACACGGTTCCGCGGAAATTCGACGCGGATGCGGCCGGACCCGTTGTCATGGTAACGGCGACTCCTTATTTCGTGTTCGACGGCGCACGTGACGCCTGACCGACGACCGTCTTCCTTCCTGCTGTCGTCCTTCTTAGCGACGACACGCTGCAGGCAGGCATTCCCAGCCCGCCCGCTCCCCAACACGCGCGCGCACGCGAAATTGTACCGCAAACAAACGCGCGGGGCGATGTACACATAGCAATTTCGCGTGTCAGTTTCCCGTTTGGCACGCTGCGATTGTTGTTGGCTGTCGTGATATTGCTTCATGAGAAAAACACACACGGTCTCGGCTCGAACGTTCGGGTTGGGTAGAGAAACGAAATAAACGCCAAATTACACTCATTCATCTCGACATAGTCAGACGGAAGGAGTCATCTTTGTAGCTATCACGGAGAATGCATTAATGCGACCGAGAGAGGGTAGGAAGGCAGCAGCTATCGATTGTTATTATCAGAGGTAGATAAGGACAAATCTCAAAAACATATCAATAAATTTGTCATTATCTACCTCTGTTATTATCTACCCGTGTGAGATGAATGGCTGTGTAGCGACTGGTTGACCGCCCAGAGCCGGCCAACCAGTGTCAGGTTCAAACGATGAACAAAATACTGTAGTCAACAGCGTGAATGCATTATATTTGAATGTATGCAGTTTCACGGCGACGTTTCCCATTCAACATTCAGTTTAACAAAGTGAAAACACACATATTTATCCATTTCTTCTTCGGTGGCATTTGTAATCTAGTATAATCTAGTAGGTAATCGATTCTTCGTAATGCGAGTTCACAAACACACATATTAAAGCTGTGCCTGGCGACAGTTTGCTACAACAGGACTAACTAATCATAAAACTCGAGCTATGTAGCCAACTAATTGCAATATAGCAAAAATACCATTTGTACAATAGTCCCTTAACAAAAATAACAAAATGTTCAGTCCCAGCGTACGAAATTGAACTGTATATAACCTGCGTGCTTTCTTGGACGTCATTGAATGTCAACAGACGGGGTGACACCCGTAGCACTTGCGCTGACACTCCCTTCTTCATTCCCCGTCATTGTGATCATACCCCCTCCCACCTTACGCGTACCCGTACGCGTGGGTCGTCAACATCATAGTTACAAACATCTTTCGAAAATGACCAGACAACACTCTTGAGATATTTTTCTTGCGTTTGCTTTTAGTTTTTTTTTTGCACTCGCCAATGTTCACGCCTCCATTACCAGCACGCACTCCGCTAGTGTATGCATGCAGACGACGATGACACGTTTCAATGCGTCGTCCTTCACACAAAGACTCGGCTCGGTGTATCGCACGCAGTCAGAGGAGCTCGTCCGTATGATGCTGTAACTCGAGCGCACGCTACAGCCAGATGCACGTCGTGCCGCGTAGAGTTTCTTTGATTTAGCGCGGTGTCGCCTGTCTTCGTGTATAGTGATTGAAAGAGAGAAGGGGGGTAAAGGAAACGAGAGAGGGTGGGCGAGAGAAGAGAGAGAGAGAAGGCGAGGGAGAGAGGGAGAGAGAAGCAAGAGAAAAGAGAGAGAGAGGGAAAGAAAAAGAAATAGAGAGAGCGCGCGCGAGAAGCAGAGAAAGAGAAAGAGAGAGGGAGAGAGAGAGAGAGAGAGAGAGAGAGAGAGAGAGAGAGAGAGAGAGAGAG